CTTGCAGCATCCTGCTTGGCTGTGGGTGGTTACTTCTCTTTTGATTGATGGTGAGTGAGCTGGATGATACTGAGTAAGGGTCTCAAGCACAAGTGGAAGGCAGAGGAGCAGGAAGCCCTGGAAGTCGATGCCTGGTGGCTGGATCCTGGCCACCCAGCAATGACACAGGTGCTCCCCACAGTGGCCTCCAGATCCCTTTTTGACCTCTCTGTGCTCAAGTTCCACCACTGCCTATGGCAGAGGGAGCCTGACATTTAGCATCTGGTGCTGGTGGTGAACACACTGCGGCACATCCAGACCTTCATGGCACCCAGGTGACACTGCTACCTGTGCCCAGTCCACCCAGAGTCCCCAGTGTGGCTGATAACCTCCTGACCAGCTCTAATGCCACTCTCTTTGCATCCATAGCCAGCTTCCTAGGGGACCTCAGCCATATTGAGGGCCTGAGCCAGGCTTCCCAACCCCTGGCAGATGAGGGCTCACCAAGCTGCCCAGTCAGGGTAGCCCCACCAATCCTGGGTGCCTTGGATCTGCTCGGCCCAGCCACTGGCTGTCTGCTGGACAATAGGAGGGGGATCTTTTTGAGGACACTGACACTTCTGTGTATGACAGTGAAGTTTGGATGCCAGCCACTGAGGGCATAAAACCTGGGGCAAGGAGAGGGTTCCCAAGTTGGGCAAGGCCAAGCGGAACTATCTCAGGGACATGCTGGTAGGCACACAGGTGCTAGGCCGGCTGCAAGGGACAGGCCACTGAGCCCAAGGAGTGAGATGGTTGTCTGGCATATGAACTGGGCCTGGTGGCTGGATCAGTCCTCCTTGGAAAGACACAGGTGGCTGCCCTAGCCCAGAGATGGGGTGGTGAATGAAGGCAGGAGACAGGAAAAGGAATGTTGCGGGACTGTCCTGCTACAAGGTTGTATATGGTTAGATTTCTGGACTTATGTGTAAACATAAGAATTATATAATTCATTATGCCTATTTTTAAAATGTATTTTAATTTTTAAAATGTTTTTTCATCATATTCTTTAGGGACTTAAAGTTCAACATATCAATACTTGATGAAAAATACCTGTTCCATGTTATGCTTAAGATGTCTGATATTCAGACAGATAGTGAGGTTAAGCTTAACAGCCTAAATTGTATGGTAATAACAATAAGCTTCTCCTATACAAGGTTAACAACCTAAGTTTGCAGACCAAAATTAGAGAAAAAAGGAAGGCCACAAGGAAAGCCAACGTTTTGGCCCTAGCCTTCCAAGGTCAATTAAGACTCAGGACATATGAGAACTTGTACTGTAACGTCATGTAACTCAGCAGTGTCCCAAATTTTCTGATCAAGGAGATTATGGGGCCAAAGAGGAAAGTGATCGATGATGTAGAGTGTGCCTAAGGAGAGTCACATGGAGAGAAAACATTCTCTCAGGCTTTCACAGAGAGCACACTGGCCAAGCATTGGCCGTGACTCATCCACATGGCTGACACTGACAAAGGTTCTACAATCTGAGGTACAGGATCTTAGGATATATCCTTAGGGGATTTCCCTCACTTTATCAGACCCAAAAGCTACAACTCTTGTTGCATAGGTCTTGCTTCATCTTGGTCTTAACCATCCAGCAGAAAAGTATAAAAACGAAGTATAAGAAGTAAAGCTATACTGTTATGTTGAGCTGTAGGGGACTCAGGTTAACAATTTCTGACACTGCCAGTCAAGAGGAAGACCCAATACTATTATGAACTACTGAACTCTTTTAGAATATTTTGCTGAGTTAACACACCTATAATATTCAAATGACGGAACTAAAAAAAAAGGGGGATACAGATGAATATCCATTTTGTATCTGTGTATTCAAAATGGTTAGGATAGATATATAGTTACATTCTCTTAATGAATAGAGGGATTTGTTCTAATAGTGTGTGTAAATAGGATATCATGTCTGCATCTTGTACTGCAAATAACCAGTAGGAAGAGAGAATGCAATGTGTTAATTATTGAAACTGTCCTACCAATTTGATTTGAAACTGTCTCATTGCTATTTGTCTCTCAATAAAATTATGGGGAAAAAAAGGTTAAAATGATCATCTGAAGCTGAGTGTAACAGTTCACATACGCAATCCCAGCACTCAGGAAGGCTAAGGCAGGAGGACCACGAGTTTAAGCCCAGCCAGGGCCACTCAGTGACTTAGCAAAACCCTATCTCAAAGTAAAAAATAAAAAATGAAAAAAGACTGTGTATGTACCTCAGTCTGAAAGCCCTAGGTCAATGCTTTTTTAACTTTTTTTTTTTTTTTAATTTTTTTTTTAATTTTTTAATTTTTTTTTTTAACACCTGTAGTGCCCCTCAAAGAAAGAATGGCCACCATGAGGCCAGTTCAAGGTCCTTTTGAAGAGCTCTTTTCTTTCTCTCTCCTGTACGAAAGTCACACCACAACTAGTGTAACTGTGCAGAGTGGAGAGAGTTTTGTTGCTATTTTTGAGACGGGGTCTTGTTATATAGTTCATACTGACTTTGAACTCACTTACGTAGCCCAAGCTGGTCTCAAACTCATGGTGATCCTCCTGCCTCAGCTTCCCAAGTGCTCTGATTACAGATGTGTGCCACTGTGCCCAGCTCATCACAGTAAATGTTATAAACACACAACTACCATTTTACTTAGAAATGTGTTTGGGTAAATCAACGTCTCTAACTAAATCACTTAAACAAGAAGCCTTCAATAAATTACTTTCCAAGGGCTATTTTCTAAGTATAAAAGTCTTACCTGCATTATTATCACAGTGAAAAATGAACCAAATGAGAAATATTATTTTATTTGCTAATTCTTTTAACAGAGTCAATGTATCTCAACACACGCAAAAACTTTTAGTTATTATACAGATTTTAAGTAAATATTGGTTGCAATTTTAAGATATACCTCCATAATTTTTTGACATGTACGTAACATAAATTTGAGATAAGTACATACCCACAGATCTCACCATTATCAACATTAAAAACATATCCATCACCTCTAGAGGTTTCTTTTTTTTTCTGTTTTTGTTTGTTCGTTTGTTTTTCGGAACCCGGTATTGAACTCATACCCTTGCGCTTGCCAGGAAAGCGCTTATTCTACTGAGCCATTTCCCCAGCCTGCACCTCTAGAGATTTCATTCCACTCTTTTTTGTGATAAGAACATGTAATATAATGTCTACCTCTTGGCAAATTTTTATGAAGAGTTCTAATAACTGCAGGCATAGGATACATAGTACATATCTCTAGAACTAAGTTGTACTATCTAACTGAAGTCATATCCTTTGACCAATACACTACCGTGTCCCCTTCCTCCTAGTCCCCAGCAGCTATCATCTGACTTGCTGCTACATGAGATATATACTCTTTTAGATTTCTCATATAATTAGGACCATATACTATATGTTCTGTGTCTGGCTTCTTTCACTTAGCTTAATGTCTTCCTGGTTCATTTACATGACTTTAAATGTAAAGATTTCTAGCTTTTTAAAAGCCTAATAATGTTCCATTATATGCATGTATCACATTTTTCTGACACATTCATCTACTGATGGACATGTAAGTTCCTTCTATGTTTTACCTACTATGAACAATGTTGCAATGAATCTAGGAATTTAGATATTATCTTCAAGATTCTGATTTCAATTTATATGGATATATAGTGTACCTAGAAGTGAGAGTGCTAAATCTTATGGTAATTCAACTTTTTAGTTTTTTACAGCATTTTCTTACTGCTTTCAATAGTGGTTGTACCAATTTATCTTGCCACTAACAGCATACAAGTTTCTTTCTCTCTACATCTTCACCAATACCCATTATCTGTTTTTTTTTCAACTAAGAACCATTCTTTTTTTTTTTTTTCTATTTTAGCGAAGGGTCTACACAGTGTTCAGGGTCTCACTACTAGATCAGACTTGTAGTGATTCACCTGTTTCCTGCCTCCCAAAAGCTGGGATTACAGGCACACGCCACCATGCCCAACTTCAATCGCCATCTCAGCACGCCCCAGGGGCGGGATCACCATGGCAGGCCCAAGGATCGAACACCGAGCCCCTGGGTCTGCTTGCAGGCACTTTAACCTGCTGAGCTATTTGGCCAGCCCTACTAAGAGCCATTCTAATAGATGTGAGGCAGTATGCATTTCTCAGATGATTAGTGACAGTACTTCTTCACGTAGCTGTTGGGCATTAGCTAATTCTGTATTGCTCTGTGACAGAAAAGAATGCTAAAGAGGAGAAAATTTAGTATTATACAGAATTATTTAAATTATGTAGTGCTGGGGACTGAACCCCAGACCTCGTGCATGCAATACTAGAACTCTACCACTGAGCCACATCCATAGTCTTAGAACTTTTGATTTGGTATAAAATATGTATTTCAGGATCAATGATATAGCTCAGTGGTATAACCATTCTGGCAAGCACAAGGTCCTGAGTCTGCTTCCCAGTACCAAAAAAAAGTATTTCAAAATATACATCTCAACTCTTTTTCCATGTACTATGTTCATGTACCAACTCCTCACAAGGAATATAATCACACATTGTGTGGTGCAATCGTATACTAATAAAAGAACAGGAAAATAACCTATCATTTATAGTTAGTAAGAGGCTCATAAATACAACTGTCTCTTTTAAAAACTGTAAAATATAACCATAATTAGATTACTATCATTCCAACCAATATTAAAATTTCCTTGTCAATGCTGTCTTCCCCTCCCAGTACTGAGAATTGAATACAAGGGCTTGTGCATGCTAAAAAAACTGAACTGTATCTCCAGCCCCACCCAATTTAAAATTTTACTTTGAGACAGGGTCTTCCTAAGTTACGCAGGCTGTTCTCAAACATGGTGATTCTCCCTGCTGAAGTCTCCTGAGTAACTGGATTATAGGCATGAGCCAGAATACCCAGCTTACATTAGCTTTTTCCTATCTAATAATCTAAATATATTTACCACTGGCAACATGGGAGTATCCCACTTCTTAAATATATTTACCTTTGGCAGCATGGGAGTATCCCGCTTCTTCTTCTTTTCTGAGTTAGGGTCATCTAGTAAGTCTGGTTCAAAAGTGTAAAGTTCAGTAAGCTCATTCATAGTAAAATGACGCTCAACCTGCTGTTGATCAACAACTCGAAAAGACAGTGACTGCTTAGTTACTTGCCGATCATAAATTTTATCTTCCATGGTTCCCTTTGTAAAAAGAAGGAGCAATAATATATAAATAAACACAATCTTCAAAACATGAAATTTAAGAAGAAATATAGTACTGGTTATATGAAATAGCAAATTATCAAGATAATAAGGTGTCATAAAGAAAAATCATTAGTTTTAATTCGTGAAAGATTTTATCCGTTCAGCTGGGACTCAAGAGATTCTCCTGTTTCAGCCTCCCCAGAGCTGGTACTACAAGTGTGCACTGCCACCACCACACCCAGTCTTGGCAGCTGACTGGACACACACAGGGCAGGCAGGCATAGCATGTGGCATGGGGGATCCTTGTGCTTCGCTAGGCAGGCTGAGCTGTGGCCAGGAATGGTATTTTCTTAAAAATCACTTTTTATTAGCATATGTATGTGAAATAATATACTCAATGAGATATTGTTACATATATAAATTGCATGTTGACACTGTACTTCCCCCTTTTCCTCCCCAGCAATGAAATTTTAAACATTTTCGTCTGTCTATAGTACATGTATGTTCTATACCTGTAAAATATTAGTTTAATCTAACCTCTCAATATGAAATAGTAAATGTAAATTATAAACCTACCTGAGCTAAGAACCTATACACATAAACAGGCTTAGTTTGTCCAAAGCGATAAACTCTGAATATACTCTGGATGTCATAAGATGGATTCCAAGAAGCATCAAATATAATTACTCGGTTAGCAGCTACCAAATTAATTCCAAGAGATCCTGCTTTGGTGGAAATGATGAACAATCGCCCTCTGAAAATGAAAATATACAATAATGCTTTATTTTATGATTTTTTAATCCTTCGGTTTCTAAATAATCAAGAGTTCAGAGAATTCATTATTTATGCACATAAGAAAATGAGATATATCTAAGTAGTCACTTTGATGGTTGCTATGATGAAGAATCTTACTGCCAGAAAAATGGGTGTCTGATATAAGAATAAAAGCAAATGCACTGGACAGACACGGAAGCACACTTCTGTAATCACAGGTACTCAACAGATCAAAATAGGATTGTAAATTCAAGGCCCACTAAGTCAGTTTGGAGAGATTCTGTCTCTAAATTTATAAAATTGTGTGTGTGTGTGTGTGTGTGTGTGTGTGTGTATCCCTCAGTACTATAAAAAAAAACAACCAGGAGCCATCTGTATATGTGCAATATATTCAAGGTTTAAATACAGTCAAGTTGACACACAAAATGATGACATATTTGATGAAAAGTTGTTCTTAATTTTATTTACTTATTTACTTTTCTCCTCTTCTGTGCTATGTAGTCTAGGCTGGCCTGGAACTCACTATGTAGCCGAGTCTGGCCTGGAACCTGTAGCCATCATCCTGCTTCATACTAATGGGTGTTGAGATTATACGCATACACCACAACACCAGACCAGAAGTTCTTAATTTTAATGCAGTGCAACTTTAAAACCTTTCTTTTATAATGAAGTCTATGAACTTTTTTTTACTTGAAAATCAAGAAAATAATATTGGGGCCGGGGAGATGGCTCAGTGGAATAAGCGCTTCCCTGGCAAGAGCAAGTGCCAGAGTTCAATCCCCGGTTCCACCTAAATAAATAAATAAATAAATAAATGGAACTCAGATTTAAAAGAAAAGAAAATAATATTTCCTGTTTCCTTCTAAGACCTTATTGTTTAAGTTCTAAATTTAAAACTACAACCTACCTGTAATTAGTTACTTACGAGGGAAATTACAAACTAAAATATCAAGACTTACCATTACATATGTATCACAACGGAAAGAACAGAACAAATACTATCAAGTGATGGTGAAGGCAGAGTAAAACCTAAATGGTAGGAGGACAAATTGATGCCACTCATTTTACAAAT